GCAAGCAGCAGGCTGTGGGTGCTGTAGAGGGCTCTGTGCCAGGCAGCGCCAGGGCCGGCTCTGTGTTTGTGAGGATCCTCCTTTGGAGAGTTGCAGATGAGGCTCCTCGTAAGGTGCCCTGTGGTTCTGCCCTCCACTCAGTGGGCGAGATGAATGAAGCAGAGTCACCGGGTGGCTCCTGGGGCATACCCTGGCACAGACTCGCCACTCAGTCCTGGGTTGGTGGCTGTGGGAGAGGTGGACAGGATGCAGCTTTGCCACAGCGCGTTACAAGAGGAGGGAAGCTGCAGCGGGAGGTTGCTTTCTGGGTTGGGCTCTAATTCTCTTGATGAGCCACTGGCCCCCTGGGTTTGTGTGCATGGGTCATGTGGACCAACAAATCCGTGAAATCACATGCAATATTACTGGGTACATATGGTGGGGCCAGAGGTTGTGGAGACAGTGAGCATAAAGAAGGTGCCCGAAGCTTTCTCTGCAATTTAGTTAGCTTTGCGTCGCTGTGAGCAAAATATCTGACAAGAACAACTTAGAGGAGGAAGTTTATTTGGGTTCACGGTTTCAGAGGTCTTAGTGCACAGATGGCTGACTCCATTGCTCTGGGTCCTAGGTGAGGCAGGACATCACAATGGCAGGGAGTGGTGAGTTGTGCTGCTTCATGGCAGCCAGGACGCAGAGAGAGGAGGGGAAAGGGGCCACAGGGAATATGCACCCTTCCAGACCTGCCCCCAGGGACCCCTTTCTCCAGCCTCATTCCACCTACCATCCAGTCAGCCTATCAGACTCGGATGGACTGATTGGGTTACGGCTCTCACACGCCAATCATTTCACCTCCAAACATCCCTGCATTAACACAGGAGCTTTGGGGGGACACTTCATAACCAAACCGTGAGTACTCAGGAAAGGTCAAGCAACACTGAGTCAGCACCTCTTGGGAGAGGATAAAAGTCCCGGAATCAAGACATAAAGGCACCATGTCTTACGTTCACCACTCTGCGCCTAGCACAAGCCTGTGATGAGAAAGGCAGCAATAGTACTTGTGGACTTGAACTCGGTTGCTAGAACAGGCTCACTTTGGCTGTGGTCTGAAAGTTGGCATCCTTCCAAAATTTATACCTGCCCCTCCAGGTGATGGTCTTAGGGGGCAGGGCCTTTGGGAGGTCACAAGGGTGGAGCCTCATGAATAGGATTAGTGCACTTGGAAGGGGAGCTTCTTGCCGACTTCCTACATGAGGGCACAGCAAGAAGGCGTCCTCTGTGAGGAGTGGACCTTCGCCAGACACCCAACCTGCTGGTGCCTCCATCTCGGGCTTCCCTGCCTCCAGACCTACCAGCAATAAATTAGGTTGTGTACAAATCACCCCGTCTCAGCATTTTATTGTAGCAGCCTGAATGGACAAAGATGGCTTTGTCCATCTTTGATCATCCACACCAATGATCAGAGGAAAAGAGAAATAAACTTCGTGAAGCCAACCTGCACCGCTGTGTGGGGTGGCTGTGACCTGCCCTCATAGAAAAGGCGCATCTCCCCACCTGCTTTTAGGATGGGGCCCCACAGAGCTACTGTTCCTGGTGGCAGCACAAACAATGACCTGTTCTCGGCTCCCTGCCTCCCCGTGGAGCAGCCTTCTCTTCCCAGGCTGCGCAGTTCAGGAAACAAAAGAGCTCAGAAGGCAACATTTGGGGGGCCGGAAATTGTTGCTTTTTATGCCTGTCAAGCTTCCAGTGAGACGCAGAATAAAACCCACTGCTGTGAAAGAGACTGAAATAAAAGGGGCTTTTATTACCCTGGGTTCTGCCTCATTCAGACACTCACCTTTCCATTGCGAAACAAGAACATCTGTGTGTCCTGGCAGGAGAGCAGCAGTGAGCTGCCGTGGGATGCTCCTCACACACCATCTGGGCACCACAGCCATCCTGCAGGAGTGCTCACGCGGTGGGAAGGGACCCGGGAAACGGGTGACACTTTTCCAACAGGCAGTGTTATGCACGTGTGCCAATTACTTCTGCAGGAAGAGGGAGAAGATTTACTATGTCTAGAAATACTGCCTGGTGAAAGGCAGCGTCCCAGACACAGCCCTGTTGGGAGTCGGTGGCTCTGCTTTTCAAAGCTTCTACTGGACACCATCTGTCCCCAAAGTCTAAAGAGGGCTTCTAGTTATTCACCACGCCATGATGCCCGTTCCTCTGGGAGGAGACGAGGCTGAGCTGGGAGAAGGAGGTGTCTTCCGGGCAAGCGTGGTGGCCTTGGAAATGGCCACCAAGTTGAATTCCATGGCAAGCAGAATCTGTCCCACTTAAGTCCTCTACGCACTTCTTCCTGGCATGTTACACATCAGCACTTCTATAAATGAGTTCTCACTTCCTTGGGGGGGAAATGTTCTGCTCAGAGATGGAAGGGAAGTAGTGAGGATTTACCCAGTGCCTGCTGTGTGCCAGGCACCCTTTTGGGGACTTGACAGATGTATTTTTCTCTAGAACTCGCATTCTGGGGTAACCATTCTAGAACCGTGTCCCTGGGTGCATGCTGGAGCCTAAGGACTGAAGTAGTAGGTGCAGGGGCAGCTGGATGAGTCGGTCACCTGGGGACTTTGGAGGTCAGGGGTGGTTATTTAGCTCCTTTGTCCAGACAAGGCAGGGCCCAGCTCTTATCCACAATGGAGACAAAAGGCTTGCGGCCCAGGGCAGTTTCTCAAAAAACCCTTGCTGAACCGAATCATGAGTGAGCAGAAGGCGCACAGTAAACTCGAATAAAATGAACCCATGCTTCCTGACACCCAGAAGTGACATTTTTCCAGTTGGAGCTCTGGCCAGAACAAAGAGGCCACACGGCTAGAAGTCACAGCAAAGATGTAGTCCTCAAACCACTAGTGTCTCTGCAGCCCTCCAAGAGGTGCCATGAAGAACCAAGAAGAAAGCACCCCTGTCCTCTGGAGCGTCATTGTCCCCACAGGCCCCAGTGACCTCACTCCAAGGCCAGCAGTGAGCTGGGATTTAATGTAATGAGACTCATTTCTATCTGTCAACTTCTTTAATTAGGTGTGGAATTTCATCAGCTGTCTCTGGACCTAGAGACTACCCAATAGATCATTTTTCAAACCTGGAATAAGCCAAAGTACAAATGTGCCAACTTCCAAGCAAACACTCTGGCCCAGCCTTTATGCTCTAAAATAGTCATTACAACGGAGCAAGGAGTTTGCTGATCTGCGCCGGGCGCGCCAGGGCTGGCGTGATATGCTTCCCAGCACTTTATTTCTACCCAGGTTTCAGTGCCAGCATAGAATACTGCAGTGTGCACCGAGTCCTACTAGCCTCAAGAGACTTTTATTTCCAAGCTCCTAAAATCTTAATGATAACACACATTAGAACAGCACTTTTGAGTTTATAAAATGCTTTCATGGACATTATCTCATTTAATTTATTACTTACAACATCCCTGTAACTCAGAACTTCCGAGTAAAGAATTATCTTCAGTTTTCATAGAAGGATGCCAGGCCTTAGAGAAGTGAATTCCCCAGGGGTGCGCAGAAGTTCACATACATCCTTCTGTTCGGGTCTTCTCGCCCTTGGCCTTTCTATCAGGTGCCCATGACAGACAGCATGGAGCCCCATTTCAAGCCCATGTGCCTCTGCAAGGGGCGACACATTTCTGAACTCTTAACCTGGAGGGAACTGGTTCAACTGGATTCTAGAGCCAGGTAGGCAGAGGTTAATGCTCATGTTTTTAATAAATCTAGTGATGGAGCTCTCGAAGAAACTCACTGAGTGGTGAGTATCTCCATTGAACACAGAGGCAAAATCTGGCTCCCTGTGCAGCCTGATCATGGGACCTGGTGCCCCCTGCAGGATCCCACAGAGTATAGCGACCACCTTCAAAGGAGCCTGCACCTCATCACAAGCACTTCCGCCACCTCATCCGCTCATCTT